AAGGCGGGGAGAGGGAGGGAAGGAAGAAGAAAGAAGAGCCCCACCCCCCCTCTCCACCCCCCCCCCACCTTTACAAAAGCGACCGAAGACAGAGCGAGGCAGGTTTTATGATTCCTGAAGCCAAAAGAAGGGGGTTAGAGAGGAAGGAGGTTGTTCTGGGGCCCTCGATGGAAGTGGCTGCCAAGGGTAGGGTCACATGTCTGGTTAGGGAAGCAGACAGAGTGACCACTTGCTTGTAATTTTAATTGCAGATGAGTTTTTGGATGTGCTTCCAGTGTCTCCCCCTCATTCCCCCTTCCCGTGCTGGCAGTAAATAAGTGGTTTAAGGGAATTGCTCATGACAGACATCACCTAGAACGCTGGCCAACGGCTGGAAGCTCTCCCCATTTTCCATAAGCTGATGCATTTCACTTTTAGTGCTTTTAAACCAAAGTACAGATGTTTTAGGGGCTGAACCAAGGCTTCGGGCCTTTCTGATTTTGCTGCTGGATTCAGAAAATTGATAGACCTTTCAGATTTAGTTACTTAAACTCTAGAAGAACACTAAAGGGTTTTTTTTATCCCCCTATCTTTTCTATTTTCCTTTTCTTCCTTCTTCCTTTGCCCTCTCCCCTCCTCTCTTTGATTTTTCAGCTGTACCAGCTGAAAACCAGTGACTTGAAGGCCCGTTCAAACATCTGGTAGAATATTTCCTAAGCTTCTAGGAGAGCATCATAGCTGCCGCCTTCCCTTTCAACTCTACTCAGAATTCCACGCTACTTGCTGGTTAGTTCTCTTGTTTTTCTCTCCTTAAACATCATATATTCCATGTTCAGAGGTTTCCTTGAAAGTCTTAGCACGACTTCATGATAATCGTAAAATAGAATGAACTGCCTCTCAGTTAAGTGTTCTCAATTTGGAGATCTTTATTGTATATCAATTACAATAAACTTGACCCTTCTTAACCAGTACTATTTGGGGAGGGTATTTAACAGCCCCAAACCCAGCTTCTGGGTTTCAGCCACTGCTCTAGTTTCCTATAATTCAAATAACCCTTGAAGAATGTCCCATTCTCAACAGTTCCTTCTTTGGACAAATTTATTATTGATTATTGGAAAGAATTTATTTAAATCTCACCAAATATTCAGGCTACCTTACGTCATGTGAATAATATTTGAGAATAATAAAATATATTAGAAGAAATCACACAAAAAAATCTAAGACATAAAGCTATACTAAAATTAATAGTAGAAACAAGTAATGTAATAGAAATCCAGAACAGCAAATACGTGTGGATGAATAGGGAGAGACTAGTCCCTTGTTTATATCAGAAAAACAGAGCTTGTAAGGTCCAAGATGGCAGGACCTAAATTACAAAATCTTGCTAAAAATATTGCTTGAATCATTATCAGATCTGAGTATATTTATTGCTATTAATAGTATTACTGTTTCAGTCAGATGTCAGCATTAAGATAATCAAATCTTAGAGTCTAGAAAGGTTTTACATCCAGTCAAACTTTCCATTAGGGGAACACACTTTTAAAAGCTAAGGAAGCCATTCTTTGTTTCTTTTCTTTTACCTTCAACTGTTAACCAGCCCACAAAATCACCGAATACCAAGATAATAGCTAGTCCTCATCATTGAGCTCAAATATCTTGTTTTGTTCAACAAAATAGGTTTGTTTTCTGTATTTTCACAGTATTCTGATTTTGTTGAATGAACTTGCTTGGAGTATTTGAGATGGAAATTAACTATAAATTAGCAGTATAATAATTTACATTTATTACTCATTAATAGACTTAAGGAGGTCTTGTTGGAGCTTTCCTACAGGAATCTTTTTATATATCTTTTCACTTTGTATTTTGAACAAACTGCGTCCTTTCAGCTTTTTTTTTTTTTTTTTTTTTTAGAGGGGGGAATTGTGTGCATTGAGTGGAGGA